TGATTCAGCCTTCACTTCTTCAGGCTTGGCCTTTTGTTTTGTGTCAGCCTTGACAACTTTCGAAGCAGCTGCTCCTGAAATTCAAACGAAAATAAACGATAAATAACAAGTCCTGTTTAAGGTTAAAAAAAAAACAGTAACTCATAGAAGCACCAATAATAATACATACCATTGACAACAACTGGAGGGGAAAGGATTGCAGGAACAGCTTGAGGAACCTCCTCTTCTTCTTCTGAATCTGTTGATACAATGACTCATTAGAAACAAGACAAATGCGCTTAATGTCAGAGAAAGATGTTACATGAGAGATTACTCACCAGAAAAATCATCATCTTCACAAGTGGAACACACAAAACAACAAGAGAGTTAAGGAAAAACACAATTGAGAAGACCAGTCTTAAGCTTTTTGCATCTCTCATCATAATATACACAAAGCCAAAGCAGAAAAGAAGCAAACAACTACTATCTCAAAGGATATCCATCAAGGTTGGGAGATCTGTAGCCGAGAAAGTGGACGTTTCCTCTCTCCAAGCTGTGTGAAAGCTCAAACTCTTTCTCAAAGACAAGATCAAAGGTGATCTGAGGACACTTTTCTTGAGAGAGTGATCCAATCACAAGTTTCTTCCCATCAACCTTAACAAACAGGAGAGCAGATTCTCCCTTTTTGCCTTTAAAGTCAAGAGAAGCCTACACACATATACCAAAAACTTTGAACAGATTGTTCAACAAAATCATGGAAAAAAAGCTTTTAAGAATCTATCATTGGCCTATGAAAATAACCTGAGAAATGTGGATGAGGTCGTTTTCATCAGGCCTCACAATAAGAGGCTTCCCTGCTTGAACTTCAGCTCCTATAATAAAGGAAGAAAAACCAACATGAGTATCACTCACACTTGTTCACTCGTAAATCATGAGAAACATCTAAACACAAATCCAAGTTCATACATAAACCAAAAGCAGCGAAATATGAACAAACAGAATCGAAATCAAACGAAAAAGAGTATTGTAAGGGTTTAACGCTCAAAAGGGGTATTACAAAAACTATCTTAAACGGGTTTGAAGAAAGATTGAAACAGAGCACAAGACATGTATCAGTAGTTTTATCGATACAAGGACGAGCTAGAAGACGAGAGTCTCCATGAAAAAATCGATAAAATTCTACGAAGGGGAAAAGGATAAACAGAGAAACGAGCTAAGGAACACAGAGATATAAGATTCATACCCCAGAATTCCATTGTTGACAAGCGAAGAAGAGAGTTTTTAGGGTTCTTTTTTAGCTGCGGGAATATGAAGTTGCAGTGAGAGAGGCAGAAGAAAGGGAGAGGTTTTGTGGCAATTTATAGTGGAGAGAGAGGTTTAAGGAGACTCCTTTAGGGTTTTTTGGTCTCTTTACGGCGTCGTTTTTGGTATTAGAAATATTGCGTTATAAACAAAATATTCAC